AAAAAAAAAAGAAAGTAAAGTCGGAATTTTAATTTAATCTTGAAAACCGAAATTAAAAAATCGTATTAAATAGTATTAAGAAATGGTTTAATAAGCAATTTGGGTATTATTACTGGCAGTCTCCTTAAGAGAAACAAAGTCTTCCGATCGAAAAATATTGATTTTCAAGAACTCTTTACTATATCTACCAAAACCTGTCTTTTCTTCATATAAAATACATGGGAAACTTGGAGCGCTTTGAGCAACCGCTTAATATTTATTTTTTTTTTTTGATAACAAAAAAAAACAAGTGTATATTTTTTTCAATGTAGAACGCTCCTAGGGGAAAGAACATTTAAATTCCGACTTAACGTTTTCACAAGCATTTTTAGACCGCCCTAGTGCACATATATTGTAACTCCCATGAGGTATGAAACATTTTTAATCTGTCTAATGCAGAGCAGGCAGGAGCGTACAAACGTATGCATAAAGCTTTACTTACTTAAGCTATTGGGAGTTCAGCGGAACTTTCCCTACTTTTGGTATGCTGAAGAAATCACATTGTTTACTTGATCATGTTTAGTAAATTTTTTGCATATATGTTTGTATGTATGTAACGAATAGGCTATGTTTTTTTTTACGCCCTGTAGTAATTTGTTAAGCTTACGTGCATGCCTATGCATAATAAGTATTAGAGCATATAGAGGAAGGCGATATAGAAAAAGCTATTCACATAAATAACTTCAGCAAGACAGAGAACTGTAACTTCGACTGTTCTTCCCCACGTTTTAACACGAGTAGCTGGGTAAAGCCATGTGAGCTGATCTTCCGCGACGTAGTCGGTCTATTCTGCACCATATAATTGTCACTAAAATGGAGAAATATAATAACGTTTTCAAAATATTTCGATTACTTGCTTTACAATGATACACTTTTTTCAAAAATTCGGGATGTAGCGAAATTTTCGAGCATCGCTGGGCACGGCTAAGTAACTCCAGGCCTGGAAAGATGGTATGGATTGAAAAAGTGCCGGCCGGCCTATTGACTTCATGAACAAAGAAATCTGTTTGATAGGAAACGAGCTTTTTATGCTTCTCTGGCATGCAGAAAGGTTTAGCAATTTTAAGCTGCGTAAGGTAATACTTTAAAAACGGATTAAGGGAGGCATTTACAGTCCTCTTCAATTTGTCAATCATTTCAAAGTTTTCCAGCAAGAATGATAGAATACAAGATTGCGCATTCCTGCGGGTGATGACGTAAAGATAGCAACGAATAGGAAAGAATAATTGGAGATGGAGGAGAGAAAGAGTGTTAACTGTCAAACCATGGATACTATTATATTTACATGCATATACAAATCTCTGCATGCATACAAACAGTTTGCTAAAATGACGTCACACGAACAGCTGATTCTGTCAAATTCGCCAAGAACAAAGTAGCGGTACTGCTGATTGCGCCACCTCTGTCTCCCTACATCGTGGTTTTCCAGCAGTGTTTGTTTGGCGATATCCAAGTGGAGAAGGATAGGATTATCAAATGCTTTTGTAGGAGAGGAACCCTTTTGTTTGCTCGGTTGGGCATCTTCGAGTATTATGATTCGATTGGTAAGATACTGAGAGGGTTAACTCAGAACGCAGTAAGTTCTGCGAGTTGGTAGAGAAACTAAAATAGGTCACTCTGAGGTTATATCTTTGCTCAAGTCGCCCCCTGGATCTTAACTGGTCTTAACGTTTTCATCTGCATTGAATTGAAAGGCGAGGAAGATTTAAAACACGATGCAATGTATTAAGAATAAAAATATGGGTACCAAATGAAGGAGGACATTTCTTTAGAATTTACAAAAAATTAAATTTTTTGGATTCACAAGGACGAATAGGTATTTTTTTAAGCCGATAAAGTTAGATGGACGATATTCGAGAATGTTATCGATTTTATATAAAGCCTAATAAAACATATATTTTTTTCAAAAACAAATATTGCGAAATCTCAAGGAAAAAATTTTAAAAGGACATTTTCAATGCTTACCAGTTCTTATGTACCAAAAAGTTTAATTCGTTTAAATTTTACAGAATTTTCCCTTTAATTTGATACCCATACTTCTTCTCAAAGCACATTTCACTGAATTTAACTATTTTTGAATTACTGTCGTCTAGAGTGAAAAACTAAGAACGCAACTTTACTATATTTTGCCCATGGTTTCGGGAATATATTGATTTTTATTATTAAATAAAAAGAGAAATATAGCCAATACTGGCGCAGAAAATGAATTTCTATTATTGACATCAGTGAAAATTATTAATACCGAAAATCCCGAGATTATTTTCCAAGAATCCAGGGATTTTTGGGATCTAAATAAGGCCGGAATCCCGGCATTAACATTCCTAGTGCATATGTATGTCTATAGAACTAGTAGCTAATACTCAGCTACAGCTTACGTGTTTCACTCTACCATCATAAATATATATTTATACAAATTCCTAGTTGTCAGAACAATACCTCGTACTAGTGAAACCACAAAGTCCCCTGTTCACTTTGCCTAGGTAAAGTCCAGGCAGTAGAATTATGCAATTGCCGTCACAAAAAGCTTTTGCTTGCATATGTATGTATGTATGTACTTACATTATGCATGGTTGGCTTTGGTTGAGCAATAGGAACTGTCAATGCAAATGTGAAACAATGATTTACCTAGATGGTACGAGAAGCAGGTGAAATGCAATAATTTATTACAAATCTGTTACACAATCCACCAGATGATGAAATAATGGAGGAGTTCTATTTGTATTGGTAATCAATGGGTTGCAATTTACATACACTTAACTATACATACATATGTACAGCCCATAAATAATTAGGTTAATCCTTGAGTCTAACTGTATTGAATGGTATAAAAATGTAAGTAAATAGATGCTTATGCAATGTCATACATACATACATGTTTATGTAAAAGTTAAGATAAATCGATTTGAATTTATTATGCTACCAATTGTAGATACGTGCATGCGTTTATTATTCATCAATGTTTTAATATTGGAAAATTAATATACATAAATTTCTATGTATGGTCTAAGCTTTAATTAAGCAGCATGAGGAAGCCTAGCGTTTTCCATTTTGTTAGGACACTTCATCCATTTTATTGGCCAACTATTATGTAGTGATTTCGAATTTGCTAAGAGAGTTAGTGAATAAGGGAAGACTTAAAATTTCAGCAAATTACTTGAAAAATTATACTTATTAGAGTAACGAACTGTTCTATGTCTCAGTTTTACAGGAGATATTTTTAATTAATTAAAAACTATTGGCAATTATCGCATCGTTGCTTATATCACTGATGACTTTTTTCTCGTTCATCGAGTTAAGACGGAAAGAGTATCGTTTTGTAAAGGACAAAAATCCTTACAGAAATTAATTGAAGAGTGCTACGCTGCGACTAATCACTTTCGCGTAATCAATTTTTATTACTTTCCTATTAGGTTTGATCAAACTCGTGGATACACGGCTATTTGAAGTGAGCACAACATTTAGCTCCAATTATTTGGGAAGGAATTTTTGGTTTTTAGTTTTCATAGTTTTACCAGAAATTCCCGGGAAAGTCTCGGAAATGACTGATTAGGACAAGAGTATTAACTATAAATTCCGGAAGATCTTGATAAACTCGAAAATTTGTGGGAATAACCAGAAAATTCTACGAAGTTTGCACAAATTAGGAGCCACTGCAATTTTTATTAAAGCATCGAAAAATACTGAAAAAGCTCCACTTTTATTTTGTGATATTTATTTTTTCAAAATTTTTATATTTTCGACAGAGCTAATGATAGAATGGTTTTTAGTAGACAAAGACAGAGAATAAATGTAAAATTAATGACAACGATTACATTTTTTTAAAGAAATAAAAGTCTAAATATTAATGTCATACAACCAGCAAAAAAATAAAAATAATTACAGTGTATTTATAGTTACATATGTAGTTGAAAAGTCCGGCAGATGGTAGATAGGTCTTTTCTAGATAATTTGGGTACGTTGAAAATAATGGTGTTAACCATTTTGCCGAATTGGCTCATGACCCCACACAAAATTTTCAAATTTTGCCTAAAAAGTAGGGGTTTTTCGCTAAATTATTCTCTGAAAGTCCACTTATATCGTCGAATTTACAACAAACAATAAAAGATCTATTAAGAAAACATATATCAGGATACAATAAAATCATTTGCAAACAATTTCGTTCACATTTGTGGATTGGGAGCAATATTATGTCACCTTTTTTTATCGAATTTTTTTTCAACTTTTCGCTTTTATTAGACTTAAAACTGCTGAAAATCCTCAGGAAATAATTGCTCTATTTTATGAACTTTAGAAACTATTTTGGGATAAACTGTATTTAACTTTTTTTATTATTTATTTATTTTTTTCTAGTTTTAAATTTTTTAAGTTAAACAAATTGTTTGTGTTTTTTGTTATTTTTTGACCTAAAAAATTAAATAAAAACATTTGTATTAAGTCATTATATTATATTATTCTACCTTGCAATATTTTTTTTTTAAATTTTTGCATTTCTCATATCCTTGAAATTACCAGAGAAGTCATTTTCAAAAGAAGGGTTTTGAAGGTCTCGGAAATTTTGTTTAATTTTTTTGTCAAATGCCCAAAAACTGCCTAGAATTAATTTTATTGAAGCTACTGAAAACCTCGGACACGCTTGTAGTGGATTTTTTTTTATTTGTTACAAATTTTCGGCTAAAAAAATGTTACAAATGCGAACTACCGAGAACATGCAGTTTAAAAAAATGCATCAGCCCAAGAATCTGAAAACTCCGTTGCCCTGCAGGAAATCCCTAGTTACTAAACTAATTTCCAGGGAAATTTTAAAAATTAATAAACATAGATGCATGCATGCATATTTCGAAATTCCAACACAAAAAACTTTTTATTGATTTCACTGTCGGGATGAAAAGTCATTTCACATTTAGGATTTTAGTATCAAATATTCATTTCAAGGAGCAACCATTTAATCCCCTTAGATTTCAAAAATTCCAGCAACAAACCCCTCAAGGCTTACACAAAACCAGCTCTGTTTTGAATAATCAGACAATATGCATACATACATACATACAACAAAAGAAACAACAATTTTACATGACAACAACAAAAGGCAAATGCAACAAAATTGTGAGCAGTCGATAGTAAATGTAAACAGAATGTCAATGTCAGTGACAGCTACTGGACCAACATAACAACAAAACCTAAAGGAAAAATAAAAACAATAACAAAACAAGCATGTCAGTGACAATGAGCCTTTGCAAGAAGCTTTTGTGTTGCGCACTTAATTGCTCTTCCTTGCCATACGCACACGGACGTGCATGCATACTAAAAAAAAAACAAAATATTCTATACATATATGCACATATTTACATAGTATATTGGTGTGTATGTGCTCGCAAATTGCACTTTGAACTTTTATTTTCCACTTGGCTGGCGGAAGTCGATGAATGGGTAAATGGAGAAAGTTACGCAAACTTTTAAATTGTGATTGGTTGCGTGCTGGCACGACTCACGTTGACTGGACACAAAAACAAATTTACATGTGTTACCAACACTGAAAACATATACATATAAATGTCTGCCAGCATGTACGTATATATTTATACATACGCTTACTTGTAAAAGTTCTCATTTGTACTATGTATGTATTGGTTAACTGCTCACTTGCTGTGCGCAAGTGGCTATAATACTATTTGCACTTGTATTGTATTTATGCAAAAATGTTGTTGTTCGAAAGTTGTTTAAAGCATTATTTTAGCATCTACAGCTTGTTAAAGCTTGTATTCCGCCCTCGCTCAAGGAAATATCGATCCGTTTCGCCAAACCTGGCATAATGTGCACTGAAGTGGCAACAATGCAACCGCCCAGATGGTCCAAAAATAAATTGTATATATGTATTGGCTTAGTAGCTCTACACAGTGCAGACAGTTTGAATGTAAGTTTGGAAAACTCAGTGTGACTTTTAAATTGAACCGAATTGATGGGGAAATCATGTGTTGGATTTGCACACTTATGTCAGTGAAGCTATAGTTACCCTGGTTTATAATTAATATAGCCATGCAAAAAAAAAAATTGTCGGTATTCGAAGATCAGGCTATTCTTTCCTTATTTTGAATACGAATCTGAAGTTTGCTTTGCTCCACCACGCACAGTGCCGCTTAAGTGGGCATATTGATATTTTTGGAAAGGTAATTTATTCACTAAAAAGAATTAAATAGAAATTTCCCAATAAAATTAATTAAATGCCACCAGCAAGCCGCTAAAGTTGACAAATTTTATACCAAGAATATTAATAAGAAACAATGACAAAAATACATTCTTTGAAATAAAATGTTAGTTTGAAGTTTTTTATTTCCAAATAGATAGTAGAGAGCTATAGGATTAAACATTTTGGAATAGAATTAAACACAAGGTGTCCCTGCGGTGTTCCAGAAAAACATTTTGTTAATCAAAATTTAAAAAAATGGTAAATTTTAATGGAGAGAATAAAAAATATATGTAAAAATATGTTATTATTCTATTATTTTATTAAGTAGTATGGGATTTTACTAAAGATTAAAAAGCTTGACCTGTAGATAATAGAGGTTAATTATTTTTTTTTAGAGTTGCCACATGTTAAAAAATTAAATTAAAATTTTTAATAAGTTAAATGAATTATTAAGAGATGGGCATCAATCAAAATGTGTATGAAAAGAGTTTATTTCTCAACTAAATGTAGAGGGTTGCCACCTGTTGAAAAAAGGAAATTCCATTGGAATTAAAGGAATAAGCTAATTGAAATAGATAGGTATCACCATATGGGAGTCAGCCGACAGAGGTTTAAGAAGGTTTTAGCTTGCTAAAATTACGAAGAAAGTTGCCACGTGTTTGTGAAACCAAATATAGTTCAGACGAAATAATAATTGTGTCAAACCAAAGGTTTACAACGTCGTATTTGTTATTTTATTACAAATACATACATTTCCAATCAGTGGAAGGACCAAGTGCAGAAGCACCGCACCTTTCTGCAGTTGGCATGCGCAGCAGCTGCGCAAAGGAGGGGGCAATTGAAAGGACATTTTTAGTAATTTTTGGTAATTTTTATGCTGTTACAAAAACAACCACCTGGTAGTATTACTTTGTATCCCTTAAACTTAGTTGTAGTTCTTATTAAAAAAGCGCATTCACATTTTTTGGTTAACTTTAGAGTACATTTATTTTAAATCAAAATTTTGTGCTACCACGTTTAACCTTATTCAACGCTTTATTTAATCCAAAGCAACAAAATTTGTATACATTAAAAAACGGAGTATTTTTTCTACATAAATTCTTATGGCTGGATTGCCACTCAGGATTAAATGGTAAAAATGACAAATAACAAAGTCGGGAATTAATTGCCAGTAAGTTCATTTCCACATGGCATTTTTTTAAATTGCATACATTTTTTGTCATTTCAATGCCTAGTGCAAATTCGGCATTAAAAAAAAAAAAAACAAAAAAAAAAAATTGCGGATGGATTTAGTGATGCTTTTGATTTACACTGCCAAATAATGTAAATTAAAATAAAACTGCATCGATAAATCAAAATAGTTTCATACATTCAGAAAATCAATTAAAATATTTAATAACGCAAATATTAGAGAGAAAATTTAAGAGATTTTCGAAAGCTTTGATACTACATAAAATATTAACGATTGCAATAAATTATTTATATACTTATATGTGTACTCACAAACACAGCCATCGACAAACAAACACACTACTCAACGCTGCTACAAGTAATCACCGTCTGGTGTGCGATGGCGTATGAGTGCCTGCCTCGCATTGGTTGAGTAATTCCTTAAAATTTCATGATTTTGACGTAGAATACGTCTTACCTTAAGGTATGGGGGCTATGTTCAAATGTTGTAGTTGTAATTTTTAGAGCTTCACAAAAACGCTTATTGCACGAGAACTAATAAAGCGATTTCAAAGAAAAGTGTGGCGTTTCAAAGATAAAATTCCAAACCTGTCGACAGATTCATTTTTGTAAATAACCAATTCGGTTTCTGTCGTAAAAACAACGGTAAACATTGCCTTATTTTGGGGTCAATTTTGAGCCTTTAAAGTGCTCTAGCAACTTATTGTTGGCATATATAACTTTCATTTTCGGGATATAGGTTCTTTGGAGCAGTAGAAATATTATCGGGTACAAATTTTATATAAATTTAACAAATATTGAGCATTTTAAGGCAAAAAATTGTTGAAAAAATTTGCAAATTTTTTTCATTACCAAAATGCTCGAAAACCGCTCGAATGATTTTGTTTTTGTTTTCTTTAATCAAAAATTCAAGAGTTTTCCTTTCGTTTGGTATATGGGAAGTATTGGTTGATATCTTCTATATATGTTTATTTTATTCAAATATATGGGCATAAATGATTTTCCATACAAAATCACCTCGTCATCATTTTGCAAACACGT